TTATAAACACACTGACACAATCAGCGACACAGCCTTCACACTGTCAGGCAATAATGGTGGAGACAGCTTCACTGCAAAGCACCTGAGTACAGCTCCCAACTCTGCTTGGTTGTTCTCGTAACTCCACGTACTCTCGAGACTCTCCATGCAATGCACTCGACGATACACAAGAATATAGCTCTGGACTCGGCACAGTCTAAGACAAAACTCGACGATGCACTAACTCGCGTTACACTAAAAGACTCTCTCGATGCACTCAGCGCTAGACTTTCAGACACTCGCTCAATGACTGACTATCAGCTCGCTAGACGAGGCACACACACTTGATACTAACTGACTGTGGACCAGCAGGGTTTATATAGCTTTCGGCTTGTGTTCGAGAACATTCTGGGCTAAACCGGTAAGAATTTTTTCCAGAAGGTTCTCCATCAGTCCATGGCATACCGCCAATTTTGTCGCCAACTAGGCGATTTCTTGCCAAATGTGGCAACACTGTCTTCCTTAGCATTTTATGGCAACCCTAAAGTTGCTTTGTGGGGAAGCTATCTTACCTTGCCTGTACATTTTGTAACAATACTATATTTTTAATTATAATTATTATTTTAAATAATTTTTTTCTTTTTCGAATTTAATTTTAAGTTTCATGCTTTCTTTCGAATAACTGTTTTAAAAATTTTTGTTTACCCCATTCGAACTGCGTAGTTTAAATAATAAAGGTGCATCATTTATTTTTTCAAATAGTTTTCTTTATAATTTATTTTTTGTCATAGTTATTATTTTAGGTAATTTTTAAATTTTTAGACTTTTATCTTAATTCTTTGTGTTGCATTGTTTTTTCAGATAATTGTTTTAAAATTTTCTGTTTATTCATTTGAACTGAGCATTTCAAATATATATTTATTACTATAAGTTTTCCAGAATTTGACTTTATTTATTTGAATTGCATTTCTTTTGGAAGAATACTTTGTGACCCAGACCATGATGCATTTGAAAACTACACATATTAAAAGAGAAAATACAGTAAAACACAGTTAAAACGCCTTTCAGTGTTCCATTCATAAAGGATATATAAATAAGAGAGATGTATAACCGACATTTTAACCTAGGATGACTTGCATACATTGCTTTAAACAGCTTTATCACTGTGCTTATTGCTTTACACAATTTTATCATCCCAGATTTAGTTTCTTAAAATGTTATTCATATTTTAGTCAAATATTTTATTTTTGAAATCGCAAGAATCAAACATCATATGATTAAAAAGTTTTAAATTAAAAAAAAAAAAAAAAAAGAATACTAAATTTTATGCAAAAACTTATTTTCTTCCCTTAATGGCATGTTCTTTGTCTTCAGGCATTCTGCAAGTATATTAAAAAGCATCCAACTTTTCTAAACATCTTGGTATTTCTGACATTAATTTTAAATAAATTTATCACCTTCCATTCCATAAAGACCCAGCAACGGCCAAGCGGTAAAGTCGCTGAACACTGGTAGCTCGCTCCGGGGTTCAAATCCCGGCAAAGGAGCTGGTTGCATGGGCGTTTTCGTATTTTTTCTCATGTGTAATGTGCATACCAGCTGGTTTTCCTTAGAAAGTTCTTCATGAAGGCATCTTCCTTGTAGGCAAATAGCCCTGCTTTTTCATAACTTAACAATCCAATTCAATCCATTTCATCAGTATTTGGTCAGAGCCGTTATCAGTTTTTAGAGGCTAAGCATTTTGAAGGCATGAGATAAATGGAAAGACTGATTTCATCAAGAGGGAAAACATCCTTAGGTGATACCCACATACATCACTGGATAAATTCCTGAATCTTCAAATAATTCGACGGAGAAATCATGTTATGCTCCTTTTATGATACGAAATGATGGTTTATGAAGTAATTTAAATTTAGACAACCATATAGTCGAAAACCAGTCACTCTTCACTTTAATCTGGGATATCATTTTTGTCTTTTTCGTTAGCACAAACTCGATTGCTGCTATTTGCTGGTGTACACGTCCAACTGTTTTCTCTTTGAACACCCAACTTCCTTGAAGTAGATTACCCTTTAAATTTTTGCTTTCTCTCTAATTTCCTTCTACATTTGTTTTCAGTGCTGACACAAGAAAATTAAAATTTTTAGATTGGTTGACTTCCATAAATTTTGCATTCTTGTCAAATTTTTTGAAATATCATTTGCATTAAATGCGTTTCAGCTGAAGACAGCATCTAGACATTTTAACTATAAATAAAATTTAAAGCAAAGTCCAAAGGATAAATATTTGAATTAAAAGATTTTTGTTATAAATGACGGAGAAATAAACTGCTCCAGCAACGCTTATCTTGTACCACTGGGTGACCCAATTCTTATATCAGGTGCGAAAAATCTTAATCATATTATTTAGTTTTTAAGCCTGAATATTTCTATATTAAAGAAGATGTTTTTATACAGTCTACAACACGAGAGAAAATTACTACTTAAGACATTTTTTCTAAGAGGATTAATGTAAAAATTTATGTTCATATATATGTCTTTTAAAGCTAGGACATGGCCCAAAGTGTTAATGTCTTGTTTGCGTAAAAACATTGTGAAAATAGACATCAAACGAACTTTTGTCAGTTTTAGACAGTTCAATTTATGAGGGTTGGAACTTTAATAGTGGCAACACAGCTGAAAAAACGCTACGCAAAAAAACCAAAGAATATCGCGTATGCCACATGTAAATTACATACCTACCTTACCTCTCAGCAAAAAGACTCGTCCTGCCTACGTCACGTGCATGCGGAGTGACGCCAAGAATGGATCCTTGTATTAGCTCGTGGTCTAAAGTAAGTGCTGTCAGGATGTTTTCAAAACAAGAACAACGATGTTGGATAAAATTGAATGTGCCAGAGGTCGTACAGCACGACAGTGTTATCAAGGGCTTCAAGAGGCTTGTGGGGAATCTGCATTGCCTTACAGAACCGTAGCAAGATGGGTGAAAGCATTCATTGAAGGACGGCAAAACGTGGCAGACATGCTGCGGGCAGGTCGCTCGAGTGTCAGCGATACAGACGTGCAAGCTGTTGCCGCACTAATGGACAGTGATCACCGCCAAACGATTCGTCAGCTGGCCGGACAAACAGGATTAGCGCATATGACTGTGCTGCACATTCTGAAAAAACGTCTGTCCATGAGAAAAATTGCTTCACGATGGGTTCCACATCAATTGACGGAAATGCAGAAATGGCTACGATACGATGCTGCCCGAACCCACCTGGAGCGCTATGAGCGCGAAGGAGATGCTTTTTTACGCTGTATCATTACGCTGAATGAGACTTGGGCCTGATCGTACCCAGAACTGAAACGCCAATCAAACGAATGGCGTCATCACGACGTTCGAAATTTCGTCAGAACCCCAGCAGTGTGAAAGTTATGGTGATTCTCGTGTACGACTGTGATGGTGTCATCCTAATGCACACCGTTCCCCCACAGCAGACCGTCACTGTGCAGTATTACTGCTCATTTTTGGAGCACAATCTCCGACCAGCTTTGATAAAAAAACGGCGACACTTTCTGCAGAATGCTCCTCTCATTTTGCATGACAATGCTCGGCCGCATGCAGCGCAAGCTGTGACTGATTTGTTCAAGCGATGGGGCTGGAAAGTGCTTTACCATCCACCATACTCCTCAGATCTAAGCCCTTGTGACTGTGACTTAATTCCTAAGATGAAGGAACCACTTCGTGGCACTTGCTTCCAAACTGTTCCTGAGATTCTTGTGGCAGTAGACCGGTCCATTCAAACTATCAACAAAACAGGTGCTGCTACAGGTATTCTGCGACTTAAACATCCTTGGAAACGGGTTGTACACAATGCTGGCGACTATATTGAAGGACTGTAAAACATGGTGACATGAATCACTTTTGTATTCCTTGTAAATAAATAGTTGCCACTATTAAAGTTCCAACCCTCGTAAATGAAGCTAAAGTAGCAGAAGGTAAAAATTTACTGTTTCAAAATATTTATATATATTAAAAAAAAAAAAAAAAAAAGAAAAAGAAAGAAAGAAAGAAAGAAATTTAAAAAAAAAGTTTAAAATTTGAATAATATCATCTCTAAATTTAAAAAATAGCTTTTCATACGGTATTAATAAATATTTATTGTGCATCATTGAGAGGAAAAATTTCATATAATTAATTCTCTGTAAAAATTTATTTGAAATTTAAGGATAAAAATGGCTGTGGCAGTTCACTATAACACAATCCATAAACCACATTTTAGGGTTATTATCGCTCAAAAAAAGACGTCAAATTTCAAAATGCGCAAATATGTAGATTCATGTATATCTTAGAAAATTTTGATTAAAAAAGTCTAATTTTTTGCAGGTATACTTAGAAATACACCTAATTTAAGATGATGGTAAAAATTTTATAGGTTTTATTCAAAAGTTTTTTTCGAAAAATTTATAAAAAATATTTAAAAATACAAATTTAAAAAATAAATTATAAAAAAATGGTGAATTTTATTTGGAATGAACCTAAATTTCGAAATATTAAAGGAAGAAAAAAGAAGTTTAATAAAAAATGAGGTATTATTAAATATATACCAAATTCAATTAACATGGACTAACTAAAATTTTGAGAGCTAATTTTTTAAAAACTACTCGTGGGATTTTTACAAAACTTGGTAGTCTGGCATAATTTGAGTTATAGAATCGAAATATGGAAAAAAATGGCACGTTATTTCAGAAAAAGTCCGATTTTGTGTAAAAATACCTATGTTAGAATGATGCTATATATAAATCTAATATATATTAAGTCGCGCTTTCGAGACATGAAAAACAATTTAAATTTCGTTAATCGGCCCAGTAGAACGGAAGATATAGAACTGTAACCCCTTTTTTTTTTCTTTTGCACAGTGTACCTTATTTTTGTTTATACTGTCCAAATTATAAATATAGTTAGTGATTTGTATTTCTTACATTGTGTAAGCCATGTATCTAATAATTTTTCATATATATTATTAATTTTACTAGAGCTCACAGAGGAAGAACTCTGAGTTTGTGCCTTATATCAAGTCCTTTAGAGTTACAGAATTGGGAAATGGAAAACAATAACAACAAAAATTCCTCAAATAGTAATTTCTCTGCTGGATCTGAGGAAAGCAGTAATGTTAATAGTGAAGACGAAAGTGTAAGTAATGTGATTCTTTAAATGAAATCATTAGCTTTCAGTTTATAAAAATTATTCTTATAATTTGTATAAAACAATTTTTAATGTATTGAAGTAATGTATAATTTCCAATAATTATTGCACATATGCATATGCATACTTATATATATATGTACTCTATACACTTTGCTTAACTGCAGGGGGTTTCCAAAAATTAAGGAAAAATCTCAAAAATTGCGATAACTTATTCAAATATAAGCCAATCCATAGTCAAATAAGAATTGCTGAACAAAGCAAAATTCAAATTAGTGGGGCTGCGATAGAAATACGTCACCTGTGAGGAGCATAAAATTGCAAGTTTGCGATGGAGAGCTATTGGGAGACTAGAGGCAGGACAAAGTCAGACAGAAGTGGCCAGATAGCTAAATGCGAGTCCTTCTGTGGTTCATAGACTTTGGCAACAATTTTTTTATACCACAGAGTCGCCATCCAGGAAGTTAAGCCAAGAAGGATGGCCAATCGCTATGATGAGTACTGCTGACCAGTATTTGTTTTTATGTTCATGAAAGAATAGATTCAACACAGATCCTCCCTTGCTGCAGCACCTGGAAGGTTGGTCTCAATCTCAACCTTGCATAGAAGGCTTCATAAATGAGGTCTGTACACGAGGTGACCAGCGATTTGTGTGCTGCTCATGTCATGTCGTGGAAGGGGATGTTTGAGATGGGCACATCAACATGTTCACTGGACTGCTGATCAGTGGAGGGCTGTTCTCTTAATGGATGAGTCCAGGTAAGGCAGTAGATGTTGAATCAAAACGATAGTAGGCATTATTTGATTTGGAGAGAACCTGGAACCCTTATTATCCATATCCATGAAAGAGATGCATAAGGAGGCATGAAAGAGATGCATAGGCCGTGTTTGGGGTGGTATCTGTTTGGATGGACACACAGACCTCCATGTCTTTCCACATGGAACCTTGAATGCTCAGGCCTATAGAGATGACATCCTTGATGCTTATCCTATGGAACTGATATACTGCATAACTGACGGCATTGCACATTGCTGTGTGTATTGTATTGCTTCTAGGAGAGATCACATTCCCTATTGAAAATAATTTTCCTATAAGAAACTGCACATCCGATTTTATACATATGCTAATTTCTCTAATACCATAATAATTTGGTAATTTCTTTTCATGTTATTTTATATCTTATTGTGTGTTGTATGCTGTGGGTGAGTTTCATTAAGTTCTACATGTAACTTTTTAAGTAATCATAACTTTTGTGATTTTCTTTTAATTAAAGATAACCAGTGTCGATTAATCAATTAATATTTTAAAGCATTAATATAGATACATATTTTGCATTCTTGTTTTTTAAAATGGGTGCTAAAAGGTTTATTGGAATATTTATATTTCTCAGTGTTCTTGAATGCTCAAAATGAATTCTGTAGTATGAATAAGAGCATAAGAGTATTTTTAATTAGGTGTAGTGTATTAGGCATAAAATGTTACACTTTAATGTTTTTAATGAACTTGATTAATGAAAAGTCAATTGGAATGTTTATATTCCTCATGAGTTTTTTTTAAATTTTATTATTATTTTATTAAGGTTTACTGTATAAAACCTTACAGTTTAATAAACTTAAAAATTAAGGAAATAGAACAGTAGTCTCCAAAATAGGGTATGCAAATTGATATTTGGGAGTATGCCAAAGAAGTAAGTTTACAGTTACTTGCCAGTGTATTGATTGAATGATCGTGTATAATGCGAGTTAGAGGTTCTCTCATTCTGCTGGTTTCACATGCATCTCGAGAGCTCAACATAATAAATGCATCAGTTTTGAGGCCTATGCACACGAAGACATTGGGAAGTAAAGTGCTGTACCTTTGGAGAGAAAGGATACTTCTGAACATCTAAAAGGAACCACTGTCTTTGTTTAATTTTATGGAGTGCAACTTATTATTTTCTTTTTCTATAATTACTACAGTTACTTTCATCTGCAATACAAAAAGTTTGGAGATCATCGCTTATAGATTAATTTAGATTACTTATTTAATGTTTGAGTCTTAGTGAGTACTTTATTTTAATTTAATTAATCACTTTATTATAATTATTTTTGTGTTTCTGATATTTTCAGGTTGGTCTTAAAAGAACTGCTCAAAATGATGATCAGAATGATACTCAGAATTTATCCAGCAAAACAAATGGCCACTGCCATAATAGTTCAGTAAAAGATAGCTGCAATAATGAATATAACACGCTCTCAGACCTTAAAACTAGTCGTTTCTCTGCTTCTCAGAAAGAAGGTACTTTTATTGACTCTGGATTAGAAAGCATAAGCAGCAGTCACAAAGCCGGAGATACTCCAGACAGCGGTTCTGATTTCAGTCAAGATAGTGCTAGCAGCATGGATTGTGAATCACCACGGATTTCAGGTCTGACTCTGGATGATGTAAATTTATTAGATGAGTACAATTCGAAATCTCTGCAGATGAGTACAAGCAGTTCTTTACCAAATATGGTAAACAATTTATTTATCTTTTGCACACATTTATTAGTGTAATTAAAGTACTTTATGGTGGTTCACATTTGTTTTCAGACACTTGTATTTTTGAAATTTATTTGCATAGATCTTATCATGAAATACAAACTTCAAATTTTCTTCTAATGTATTATTTTTTCTCTATTTCAAAACTTGCTTCTGGTGAAAAAAATATCAAAAAGTTCCTTATAATAATAATAAAAAAAATATTGTTCAAAAACTGTTAATCAGTAACTCCCATAACAATTCAGACTCATGAAATTTTTGCTCAGATGTTTTGCTAGATAGTGTTTCTTGTTACAATTTTTTGTCTTAACCCCTTGACATAAAACAATGTCCGGGAGACATCATTCAATTCACGTGTCATTGTAGATGACATCTCTAAGACATCAAGAACTATCTTTTGCCAACACTGTGCATTATATTATTATATGGCGATGTAAATTTGAAAATAAAATGTTGTGTTTCTGAGCTTGCTTATGAGTTTCCACAGTCGAGCCAAATTAAATGGTAGTCTTCGGACGTGTCGACGTGCATTTTATTTGTATGTCAAAGGGTTAAATGCAATTATATTCAAAGAATTGTCATCTGCATTTGGAAATTTTTACTTGTTTAGTTATATTAGTACTTCCATTATTTCCATTGTGTGGGAAACATGGCAAGCTGCGATAAGTTAATGGCCTGTTAGAAATATAATAATTTATCTTTTCTAAAGATTGTAAAATGTGTTCAAAATAAAAAAAAGTGTCCTTTATGTAAAGTGTTTAAATTATTTTTGATATAATAAAACAATGGAAATTGCATGGAATTGTTAAAAATGTAGTGAAGCCTGTACTCCATTGCTAATTTTCCATCTTTCCTGCTTTCAAAAAATACCTAATGCCTCAGTGACGCCCAAAACTGAAAGGGTGGTAGAGGATGATTCTCCACACCCAGGATTTGACGATTGGGTCCCCTAAAAATCCCAGTTGCCCTTTGAAAAGGGAGGTATATAAGGTATTTCTCATGCCTTCTTGGCATGTCTTCATGGTGTGGTGGTCTGCATGCTGGGCACGTGTTCCAGAGGTCCGTGTTTCGATTCCCTGTGAAGGCGTTACTCATTTTTCATCTTTCCTGCTTTCAAAAAATACCTAATGTCTCTACAAAGTATTCTGAATAAAGAGCTGCGAGGTTAGCATAAACATATCACTGACATGTATGCTTCTGTTAAAGCTTTTAAATTCCAGTCTCTGTTTTAAATCTCGCCCTGTTATTACAAGTAAAAAACCTGAAGGATACGCTAGAAAAACAGCATTATAATTGCAAGGATTTGAAGACAGATTTAAGGAATTTAATGTTTTGGAGACAGAATTTAAATTATTTTCATTATATTAAAGGCAGATATGAATAACAGACCAGAAAAAAAATCTACAAATTGAATTAATTAATTTACAGTGTGATAGAAGATCTGAAGATACTGATCTGATTAACTTTTATTTGTATTTGTCAAAAGGTAAATATCCTCAGATACAAATTTTTGCAATAAGAGTTATGACTTTGTTTGGGGTATATGTGAACAGTTTTTTTTTCACAGTTGAAAATTACGAAGTTTAATAAAAGTGTTCGTTTGGCTGATGAGCATCTGTAATCAATTATGAAGATAGTTTCCAGCAGGTTTTCTCTACGGCTCGAGATCTTTTAGCAAACTCAGGGTACGCCATCTTCCAGGCAAACATTTGCCCCCATACAGCAGGTCATACACAGGCAGTATTATGCTTTGGGGGGGATATTCTCATGGGCGGCTAATGGAACCCTTAGTTGTGGTAGAACTGACCATGGAAGCTGTGGATTATCTGAGCATAACTGTAGATCAGTTGCACCCTTACATGGCGTCTGTCTTCCCAACTGGAAATGGAATCTTCCATCAGGACAACTCCCTATGTCACAAGGCTTGAATTGTGTTGAAGTGATTCGAGGAGCATACGTAACTGGCTACCTAACTCGACATATTTTAGCCTGAAAAAGCAGATGTGGGATGTCATGGAGCGGCAGCTCAGAGCTCAAACACCACCATGTCTTGACATGAAATGTCTATGCATGACCGCTGCATAGACATTTGGTACAATATGTCTCTGGTCATCTACCAAAAACTTCTGGCATCCATGCCAAGGGGAGTTGGAGTTCGTTTGAAGGATTGAGGTTATGAAATGTGTTATTAAGTAGGCAATCATTACAAAAAATTATTATGGAGCATGTTCAAACAGCCTGTGATACCATTTTAGGACAACTTAAGTGTTCCAAACCTATGGTCTTTGGTGGTTTGTCTATCATGTTTTTTGTGGTAATAAATTTTCAGAAACACAAAAAATAATGGCCAAAGATAGATCTGCATGTTGTCATTTATACAAGCACAAAACATTATACCTCTTTAATTTAAAGTGTAATAAATATGACATAATTTCAAAATTGTTAGTGATATGCAAAATGGAAATAATCTATTTTGTTGGCCTTGTACTCTTTTCAAGATAAAATGGCTTAAACTGTGTTTATTTTAATGACATCCATCAGGTTAAAAAAGTAGTTTGTAATGATAAGGTCATTTTGACTTCCTTTTCTTTATTCATAAAGTCGTTGGAGCTTTTTAATCATTTTTGTGCATATTAAAGTCTTCAAATTGTATTGTCAATCTTCATATTCAAAATACATTAAATGCCAAGCCACTGAGATGATCACTTCTGAAAGTTATCAGTATTTCTGGGAACATAATAAACACTAGCACTGAATTTTCCGTCTCTTAAGATGGCCATTACCAGTGTTTGTACGTGGTTGTTTTTTTCTTCATACCTAGTCTTCATGAGTAAAAATCACAGCTTTCCGCCGCCCTAGTTGTATGTTAAAATCATTTTAATATATTTATTGTAGCTACTGTAATACAACTAAATTATAAACATTATTTGTATTGTCATAATTATAATGGATATAATGTTTCATCTTAAATGCATGCCTTCCAATGTCATCTGGAAATTATTTGAGCCTTGAAATGCTCTTTCAGTAGTTCATTTGTTAGCTTTTATCATATGAAAAATAATAATTATTTTTTCTTATATAAAAAATTAAATACTAGGAGTTAGTATAAGTTAGTTGTGATTGTTTAAATAATTTTTATTCCTAAATCTTTGATAGAAATCTTCAGGAATAGAAGTAGCAGTAAAGATACATTTGAATGATAGAAATGAAGATCTTGGATTTGCTTTCCTTTGCAAAGAAGATGACGGTCAGATTATTGTAGACGCTCTTTCCGAAGGTAAGCATTATTTATTTCTTCTTGTAGCTTCCTTTAAAATTTCCAAGTTCAAATAAAAGGACAGCAATGAACTGTAGGATCAAAAAACATTTCCTCTGATGATGAAAATGCAGTACAAACTCCGAGATCTGGACTCGTCAGGACTTCAGCGATTCCGGATGTGAGATTTTTCCGGGAATTAGATCATCAGTTTAAATCTAGCAAGATGGCATAATTTTTTTTTTAAATTAAAAATATGAAATTGTGATTTATGAAATAATGAAGCATCTTAATGAATTATCTTTGATCTAAAGGGTATCAAAATTTACAAAAAAAAGCTTAATATTTATTTGTTTACTTTATTAAACATTTCTTTGAATGGAAATTGTTTAACCCTTTCCGGCACACTACCTTTTAAAGTTGGAATTTCGATTAAAAAGAAGGTAGGCAGACTAATTAGACATAGAGGCGTACACAAATAAAATTTTGTGAAGATAGCACTTATTGTTTTAATTCTGTGGGTGTGCCCAAAGTGGGGCACACTGATTGAATAGAGCTTAGAAAAGATTGCTGAAGCGACCATTACCGGGAAGCACGTAAAAGCGCAAGAGATTTTGCCTACAATTAAAAAACACTAGATTCTGAACACCGTAGCAGATTTAGCATTACCTAGGGTGTTCCACGGGGAGACCTACAACTCTATACTCCCCTAAAAAGAAAGTGACACCTCCTCTAGAAAAGCACAACCCAATATTTTATGTTTTGCACGTGCACCGGGATCCGTATCAAATTCACTATCTGAAGCAATTCGTGTAGCACTTTCAATGCTTCAGAAATGCTCAGCCCTCTTCGATCCATTTGGAAAATAATTGAAAATTCGAAAAAATAAACTAATATGATATCTACAATTAGAAATTACAAACTGCAAAATAAAATTAAATAAATGTCTACAACTCAAAACTACTAAACGTAGCACTACTGAAACTTTGACCGAAAGCAAAAGAGAAAAAGAAAACTGCTCTAATGAAAAACCAAACAGCTAACTGATAAAATTACCCTTGACCTTCAGAAAATCACCCCAACAATTTGTTAGTTAATAACCAAACGTCCCCCCCCCCTCAAAAAAAAAAAAAAAAAAAAAAAAAAAGAGAGAGAGAGAGAGAAAAGAAGAAAGAGAAAAACAGGACAATGAACTGACCAATGAGATGTGGAGAAACTAAGAATACAGTCTCTCAGTTGTCCTAGAGTCTGGATACATCTCGGGTTCGATTTTAGGCAAGATTTCAAGGTAAAAATTTAAAACTAATATAGAATAAAAAGATTAGCATACAGCCAAAAAAATAACATAGAAATTTTGTTTCAAACAATTCCCTTTATACTCTAAAAAGATACATTAAAAAAAAAATCTGGAAAATTTCTTTGAAAAAAATGAGGGTCTTAAAAAACTAAACATGGTTAAAATATATGGATTGTTTTGTGTTGAGCTGCCATCTTCTATAAATAAAGAAGGTTCAGAGTAACCTGTAGTAACCTCTAAATCCTTTTTCATTCAAATTTTCTGTACGTACAGAAGGAAATTTTTAGGTGTGCCCAGACCAGGCACACTGTGCCGCAAAGGGTTAAGTTGCTTCATTTTTTTGTGCTTATACTTTCTCTTCAGTTTTATAGACAGACATAATTTCTTGTTCAGTTGCAAAGTTCCACTGTTCAAGTCTTTAGTTGCTGAGTAGAGAATTCTGACTAACTTGTAAATTGAAATTTTTTTGGTTTTCAATAACCTCTCATCACTTTCTTGGTAACGGTATTTTCTGGATCTAGAACCATACTACAGATTTCACCATCCGTTAATTGATTGATGATTAGAACATCACCATCGCAATGAAAAACTTCTGTTATATCATCTTCACTTCTTTACAAAATCCATTAGTTGGAAAAGCAGATAATGAGGTATTTTATTCAGTACCGAAGTAAAATTAAATTGGATTTTCCATATGTTTTCTTAAGGGGAAAAAATAAGATGTGCATTAAAAAAATTCCTAAAAAAAATTTTGTTCGTGGCTTTAAGGTCCAGATTTTAGATCATTCCGAATATTGGACATCCGGATCTTGGACTGTGTATTGTATATAATCTGAGTGAAAGTAATTGATGTTCGTCCTTTCCTGTCAGTTTCTCTGTGTTCATTATAATTATTTTTGAAATTTAAGAAACTTGAATAATGAACTCGTGAGTAATGTTTTAAATACTACGTTTGACAATTAGAGAAGAATTAATTTAACCAGTAGACGATTAAGCATAATAAATGTAAGTAGTTATTATTATGCATCAAAGCAGTTTTAGACCCTAGTAATTTAAGTTGACCAGACAAAATCGATTAAAAAAATGAGTGCTTTTCTTTTAAAGCCATACCACATGTTTTCAAAGCCATTTAGGTTGTGTTTGGCTCAGTGCTAGGGAAAATGGAAGCCTTGGAAGCAGCATATAATTTCATGATAGAAACCTCCAAATCCCATTATGGGAAAAGAATATGGTGTATGCTATAGGATTGTTCAAAAAGTAAAATGCTGTTCAAGCAAGAAAATTTATCCTATGTGTATGGAAAAGATATATTGACAGAATGCCAGTGCCAAAATTGGTCTGCAAAATTTCGATCTGGCAATTTTGATCTTGAAGATGCACCATGCTCAGTTGAACCATGCACCATGCTCATGGGATAGTTGAAGTTAAAGAAGAGCTTAAGAATATAAGGAACCAGTATGTCAAGCTTTGAGATCAAATCTATGCGTTTTCAATTATCATTAATGGTTGAATTCGATAAATTCAATCTCTGGGCGATCTCACGTGTTGTTATTCGCCGGTTTGCATCAATTAATGCCTTTACTGTGTCTTTATCAGCTTCAACTGGCCTTCCAGAATGTGGTGCATCTTCAAGATCAAAATTGCCGAATTAAAATTTTGCAGTTTAGTTTTGGCACTGGCATTCTGTCAATACATCTTCATTTTACACACTGGATAATTTTTTTTGCTTGCTTGAACAGCATTTTTACCTTTCCGATAGAAAAAAAAGTAAAATATGCTGAAAATGCTGCTTTTCAGTTTCCATATTTGAAAGGGCCAAAAACTACTGCCTAGAATCAATCGAATTTTTTCACAAACTAGCCTTGCTATATCAGCTGTCAAAATATATAATGATTATACAGCTAAAGTGTGAAGTTTGCTGTCAAAAAATACAATTAAGCTCTCTGTTGGGGAAAAATGAAATTACTTTCCAAACAACCCAATATTTTTACCTTTCACTAACATGTTTTGATGTCTGTCTATATGTATGTGTGTGATCATTTTTTCATCCACTCTTATATCAAGCTTTTAAAAATTTCTGTTTTCCGTATAATTAAGCTTTCTGAAATCAGATAAAGAATTGAGTAGATTTAGGGTAAAATTTAGCTGATTATATTTGAAGCCCAAAACAATTTTGTAACATACATTGTTGCATGTAGTATATGAACATAATATATTGTAGCAGTTGAATTAGTATTGATTCCTCGGACCACCCCCAGGGTGTTCTCCCTCATAATTGGGGTGGAAAGTTTAACAATTAGCTAGGTTCAGCAATACATCAATTACCTGTAGTACTACGGAGGTGCTGACCTAGCTTCTTACCTGTACCTGTACTTATTTTTATTTGCAAAGCTTCTTGATTGTATCTTTCTTCTTTCATAGTGCACTATTTTCAGTGTTCCTGACTGTATATACCCAAGTAATTTGTATATTTTAAATAAAATGACAATATTTGTGTATCTATTTCTTTCAGAAAGCATAGCTTACAATGCAGGTGTACATCTTGAAGATCAAATACTTGCAATTAATGGTGAAAGTATTGCCTCAAAGCAGCCTTTAGAAATTGCTTCCATTTTGGAGAGAGCGAAAAAGAATGGTTCTGTCGATTTGCTGTTGTGGAGGCATCACAAAGGTAAGAAAAAATTGTTCTGTTGCTCTTTCAGCTGCTTTCTTTTTGAATTGCTGCTATAATACTACATTAGCAGCATAACATTATAAATGAAATTTCAAATAGATTGTGTGCATTATAAGTTGTCCGTCTATTTTTTTAATGCAGATTAAAATATCTTTGTTTCTGGTGTAGATCATCACAATTATCATTTCCTAGTTTTTATTATATTGTGAATAATTATTTCAGCATGAAGAAAATAACAAATTTAATTTTCCAAAATGTATATTCTACTACCAAACAAAAATCAGTTTTTAAAATTGATAAATTTAAAAACCAGGGAAAATTTTCCACTCTACACAAATAAGTGTGAATTTAATTTATTATTAATCTGCAATTATTTTAAAACAATATTGTGCCTAAATTATTTTTGAATTCAAAATTTTATGTATTATAATTTTATTGTTCAAAAGCTAATATTATGTTTTGTATGTTTCAAAATTATATCTCTCATGTTTTGCTACTCTAATGCTTTTTCTCTCAAAAAGGCTTCTCTATCACTTCACCTTTTTCTTTTGAAAAGGAGTAATGTGTAAGATAAAAAATATGAAAGCAAACTTCTAAATTTAATTTATTATAACCTCATTTATTTATATTTCATTTTGGAACTTCAGCTCTCTGTCCTAAAAATAGTGCCATGAGTCTTAACTGCATCATTCAAATAATTCATGAGATCTTATGTAATGCTTACTGCAGATATCTCTTGCCTGAGCAAAATAATTGTAAGCCAAAACTAACTCGAACTGAAACTTGACTTCCGCCCTTCTTACTCTGTACTGTGGCACTCTCTCTTTTTTCACTTAAGCTTTCATCTTGTTAAGACGCTGCAGCAACCTTCTATCACTGTAGTATCAAAATTGTAAATGTTCTGGAAGTGGGCATGATTGGAGTGCCAAGTGAATTGTGGCCACAAAATGTGAATTTAAATAAATACGGAATTTAATTTGGGCTTGACTGTTTATTCTTCAAAATGGATGGACTCTCTAAGCATCAAGTATCTACACCATTAATATTTCTCCGTTTCCTAGATTAATGCTTCCAAAATTGTGCTAATACAGTCAAAAGTCTTTAATCCAGACTTGTCGGATTATTGGTTTTTCCGGATTATAGATCATCAGTTTAAATCTGGTAAGATGGCATGCAGAAGTTATAAAATTAAAAATATGAAACTGTAATTTATGAAATAAAGAGCAATTATGATCTAAAGGGTATCAAAATTTACAAAAAAAAGCTTAATATTTATTTGTTTACTTTATTAAACATTTCTTTCAATGCGCGCATGTGTAAAGCATACATTATGCATAGTTGAAATTAGAAAATAGCAACCAGAAAACTATTTGATGTGTATTCGTGATATTAATAATAACGATGAATTTGATTTAAATCATATCAAAGACGAAGTACATCGAGATGAAATACTGCATTTAATAAGGAATTATAAGCCGAATAAAATAAAAACATTTGCCCTGAAGATAAGGATAGTGCTGACAGATCAACTTCCAGTTCATTGAGCGCCGTGAAATCCCCCCACCCGCGCAGAGCAGCGTGAAATTGATAAACAGATTTCGGAATGGTTAGAGAAACAAAGGATATGCCTTTATCCATTTTTTGCAGCAATTCCACTTTTTGTTTGATGGACATCCAAACATGCTTTTGGCAGCTCCAGAATCGGAAATTCTTTCTGACATAATCAAAAGTTCAAGCTTACTTTTATAAAATTTCTCTAACAGTCTGCAAAAAATAAGAAGCTGGATCCAATTAGAAGATTAAGGAACAATGCAATCTGCAACATTAACTGAAATAGATAATTTCAGCTTAGCTTATACCATCCGTTATACATTAAACGTGCATGCGTAAACATATTGTGTGCATGCGTAAACACATTATGCATTTACGCATGCTCAGAAAGTTTGTAACTTTGAGGTCCGGATTATGGACATCCGGATTAAAGACTTGTGACTGTATTACATTTATTAGCCTGACAGGATTGGATTTTGTGCTACTAACCTTGATGCAACATTTATTCCTCAGTTGGATATCTGTAAAATAGTGTGTACAAATTCATCATTCTAAAAGTTTTCATTGAGTATTCAAATATGCTGTGCTATCATTACCTATATATATATATTTATTATTCTTTTCATTCGCTCCATTAACAGAAAATTAGCAAAATAGTATTGTTATTTAAAATTTAATTCAACTTACTTAAATTTCTTACATATTGCATACGGATTATGTGTATGTATATCTGTATTATTAAAATAATGAATTTGTGTGTATGTTCCTCACATTATGGAAAAACACCATCACATAGAGCCCAATAATTTTGAATACATATAGTCCTTCACCTGAGCATGTACACCTCAAAGTCCAAATTTTTAATTTAAAAAAAAATTTTTTTTTTTTTTTTAGTTCATATTCTGACAAAATTTAAAGATTTTTTTATTAAAAAACTCTTCTTTATAATTAATGTGATGCCACTTGGCAAAGTATAAGATATATATGTTTTAAGTTTAATCAGAAAACTCAGTGATTCAAAAGAAATGTGTTGCCATGCAACAATGTATAAAATAGGTATATGTCTATTAAATTTAATCAAGAAACTTGGCTGTCTATAAAAAATGTCTTGGCATTGCCAGAAGTGAAATGTTTTTAGTTTCCTTCACCTGAGCATGTGTGTTCCAGTGTGTTGCCATTTAGCAAGGCATAAAATATTTAATTTTTCTTTCAAATTTAATCTTTGATTAGCAAACTAAGTGATTTAAAAGCAATAAATGCAGTTTTTCATTTCTATTTAGTTACTGATTGCTAGATTGATGAAAAATTACACTGGCTGTAATCCTTGAAATTAGATATATATATTGTTAAATTACTATTCAAGCATTTAGTATGCTAAAAAGATATAGATCTATTTTTAATAACATTTTTTTAAAATCTTGTAACATGCTTCCTGTTATGCTGAATTTTCATAATTCAAAACATGTATTTTAGCTGCAGGCAGTTCTGACTACTCTCAATCCCATACGTCGGTGTTTCCAGTTGTGAATGGATCGGCATATAATAATAATTCAGTGAGAAAAAGTACTTTTATTCAAGATGTTGACAAAAAGACCAGCCAAAGTATATCTTCTGCAAATCAGAATGAGCTTAAAAATTCTGAAACATGTAAAAAATCTGGTCAGTGTTCTCTGTATCACACTGAAAGAAGTATTGAATCTGAAAACGAAATGTATGTTGATGATTTTGAAGAACTGAATCGGAATTCTAAACTTATTGAAAAAAATCTTCAGAAATTGCCAGTAAATGATGAAGTAAGTTTTCTTTAATGAAAATATTTGTGTGTATGTGCATATATCGTATATGCACACACACCTTTACCTTTTGTGTATGTTTATATAAAAATTTTTGTAATATGTATGTTATGTTAAAAATTCATTTGGTTTTTTATTTTATATTTTTTATGTTATAATTTTTAATGTATTAATTTGATGTTTTAACCATTTCTGGACGGAGATATAGATGAACTGAAGAATATGCCATAATAGTATTCGGTTCATCTATGGCTGATATGACAACCGCGTCACAGAGGATTAGTGCCGAGCTAGACAGCTGTAATGTATACATCATAATCATGCGGAATGAAATGTAAATAATTTTAATTCTAGCAAATGGCACCCTATATCCATGTTACCAAGATAAATAGGATTATGATACCTGAACTTCGACCTTTGACTGTTTAATTTCATTTTGAAAGGTAGATAATGGGATTCAATAATGTAAACAAGTGTGCTAGGTCTTTATGCATGTTCATTTTTGTTTATGTTTCCCTCAAGTCTGAGGGAGGTCTGAGTCTTTCCTTCCTTTCTGAGGGAGGAGTATCTCTTGTCAATGCAGATTTTAGATATTTTTTTTCTTTTGTGTCAATTTTGCACTATTTTTCATTTTTTTCTTTCTTTCTTTTTATTTTCTTTACAATGTCAATCCGAAAGCAATGTATATCGGAAGCAGCTGACTTTATTACAAGAAGATCTGATAGCAGCGAGGGCAGTGGCTAAACAAAATTATAAAATGGAAGAAAGTGTTGAGAAACTAAATTGTATATTGCAGTGTAACAAAAAACTTGGGAAAATGGATATTAACCCTCTAAGCACCATGACCAACTTTATCCAGTCATAAGATTTTTTTTGTCACTTATTATATATCATATTTTACTTTCTTACTTTACTTTGTCTAATGATAGTCACTAGTAAAAATCTGTAGGCATAGGGGAGGTAAGAGACAATCTGGCTACATTTGCTGAATGCCACACTGCTTGTCAACATGGCAAAATGGGTGGGAGACATAAGTCATGATAGCATTTCATCCTGTTACGCATCAGAGGCATACTAATGGTTCATTCCAGCAGGATAACGTGATACTGCACACGGAATTCGTTAGCCCACAAGTCTTTCTTTCAACATGCCCCATTGCTTCCTTGGCCGTCGATGTCCCCTAATCTTTCTTGATCGAGCATACATATACTCAAATTACGTCATTGTTTGTCTGCTTTAGAGAAAGTCACAATATTATTTTCCATCAACAAGCAAAAATTCCGAGTAAAATTGAAATAGTAAAAAAATTCAGTATTTTCTGATTACCTGTATACCCACCAAAAATGCTGTGAACTTGTTGATGACTAATTTTTTGTATAGCTAATCTGCAAAAGGTGACCAATTTTTCAAAATGGGGGCACACTAAGAATTCCATACAAGAGCAAGCCAATCAATAAAATTAGAAAAGCAAGAAACATTGGTAACAAAACTTTTACCTTTTTTCAAGAAATTCTTTTTTGTGCTGTTCTTCTCCCCATGTATACAGTAATCTGTTTTTGCTTAAAAAAAAAGGCATATCGTAAGTTGCTACAAATCTAATTTGGCAACATACTACTTTGCTTTATGAATACTTTTTGCAAATTTTTGGCATGAGTACGGATAATCAGACAGGACAAAAAAGTCATATGTAGATATTACCAAGTTCTGTGGGGACAAAAAAAAATCTTCATTTCATGATGTATTGAAGATAGATGGGTTCAGTATTTTACATTAGACTGTATACTGTACTGTACTGTACAGATACCACATTTTTTCAGTGTTTGTTATTTTTCAAAGGTATAAGGTTACTTTCATATATCATGAAAAAAAAAAAGTATGTGCAGTTTATTTATCATTGCTTTATTTGTAAACAGTTATATTATTCTGTGTACACTGTGCCCCCCCCTTCCAAAAAGGGGGGAAGTTCTATATCTCCCGTTCTACTGGGCCAAATAATGAAATTTAACTTTTCATATCTCGAAAGTGCAACTTAGGATATGTATTAGATTTATATATAGCATTAGGTTTTACCTATATTTGAACGATCTAAATACCAAATATAGCTATCTAGATCGATTGTTCAAATATAGGTAAAATCAGACTTTTTCTGAAATAACATACCAATTTTTTCACGTATTTCAATTCTACTACTCAAATTACGTCAAACTCCCAAGTTTTGTAAAAATTGCACGAGTAGTTTTTTAAAAAATTGGCTCTTGAAATTTTAGCTCCTCAATGTTAATTGAGTTTGTTATATATTTATTAATCTCTCTTTTTTTTATTAAACTTATTTGACTCTTCCTTTCACATTTTGAAATTCAGGTTCATTAAGTAAAATTCACCCATTTTTTATGATTTATTTTTTTAATTTGTAATTTTTAAATAATTTTTATAAATTTTTCAAAAAATGTTTTGAATTATAGTTTATAAAATTTTTGTCATCTTAAAGTAGACGTATTTCTAAAATACCTGCAAAAAGTTGCAGTTTTTTATTGAAAATTTCCGAAGATATACATGAATTTTTATATTGGCTTGTTTTGAAATTTGGCATATTTGTTGAAAGTGATAAAACATCAAATGTGATTTAGACACTTTGGTAAAATTATTTGAATGTAAGAATGATGTAACTTTATGCCCCGCTCATGCACTATGTAAAAAAGGTAGGAACGAGGTGCCTTTTTCTTTGCTCCGGCATAATGGAAGTGAAAGGAAAATTAGTTGCCATATATTAAGAAGTTTGCCAAGTGAATTATTCTTGCCGCAAACTAAAAATTTTTAAAATTTCTCCGCAAATTTTGCACCAAATTTTACAAAATTTAATTTCTAGGCATAATTTGAGTCGTAGAATCGAAATATGGGAAAAAAAATAGTATGTTTTTTCAGAAAACATCCGATTTTGTGTCAAAATCCTATGTTAGAACAGTGCTATATATAAATCTAATATATATCCTAAGTTGTGCTTTCGAGACATGAAAAACGCAATTTGAATTTTATCAATCGGTCAAGTAGATAGTGGAGATACAAAACTGTCCCCCTTCTTTCCCCCCACAGTGTACTTTATTTAGTATTGATAATCTCTTGTTATGAGAAATGTATCATTTAAACATTATATGGTCCTGTTATCCTATTATTAAATACAGTTACAGTTACATATATAACACATTAATTTCATAATATATATTTAATTGTATATTAGAGTGTTTTAATATGTTGGTTAAAATTTATTTAAGTTGCATCTGATTTCATTTTATATTGCATCATGAAAATATTCAGAGGTTAAAGAAACTTAATGTTATTGAGCATTTATTTGAGACATGTTTCTGAAATTTGAATCAGTCTATTTATAAAATTAATTCACCTTTAGATAAAAGAAAATGGAAATCAAAGCACAGTTTCTCCTCCTAATTCTGTTTCTTCTGTTCTTTCAACTGTTTCTAATACATCTGTGATTGCTAATGGATCAGTGACCAAAGATTCATGTAGTGTAACACTGAAGAACGTTCCTGCCATAAATGATTCAAATGCAACTTCTGCTACATCTGTTTCCAAAACATCTATGATTAAGAATAGATTATTAGCTAAAGATATGCCTAGTGTAGAGAAAAAGGAAAGAACTGTTTCCGAAACATTTATGACTGCAGTCTCACTGTCTAAAGATGAACCTAAAATACAGAGAAAGAAAGCACATTCTAAAAATGACTTAGGTGTAACTCCTTGTAGAACTACTTTCAATACTTCTGTGACTGCTGATTGCTCCATGGTTAAAGATTCACCTAGTATAGAGCAAAAGAAAGTACCTTATAAAAATGACTCAGCTGAAACTCTTGTTACAGTTGTTTCTGATATATCTCTGCCTGCTAATGGCTGTCTGGGTAAAGATTCAACAAGTATGGAGCAAAGGGACTCTGTTGGAACTTCTATCACAGCTGTTTCTAATACATCGGTGACTGCTAATGGCTCTTTGACTAACGATTCACCAAGTGTAGAGCGAAAGAAAGTTTCCTCAGAAAATGAATCTGTTGTAAGTTCTGGTACAAGTATTTCCAAAACATCTGTGACTGTTAATGGCTCGCTGACTAAAGATTTACCTAATGTAAAGCAAAAGAAAATACGTCTTAAAAGTAACTCACTTATAACTCCTATTATAGATGTTTCCAGTATGGCTGTGACTTCTGATGGCAGTCTGACTAACACTTCAGCAAATATGGAGCAGAAGAAAGCATCTCCTAAAAATGGCTCTGTTGGAACTCCTATTACAGCTGTTTCTAACACATCTATGACTGCTAATGGTTCTTTGACTAACACTTCACCAAGTGTAGAGCAGAAGAAAGTTTCCCCAGAAAATGACTCAGTTGTAAGTCCTGTAACAACCATTTTGAAAACATCTGTGACTGTTAATGGCTCCCTGACTAAAAATTTACCTATTGTAAGGAAGAAGAAAATACGTCTTAAAAGTAGCTCTCTTGTAACTTCTATTATAGATGTTTCCAGTATGGCTGGGACTTCTGATGGCTATCTGACTAACAATTCAGCAAATATGGAGCAGAAGAAAGCATCTCCTAAAAATGACTATGTTAGAAATTCTGTTACAGCTGCTTCTAGTACATCTGTGACCACTAATTGCCCACTAATGACTGAAGATTCACCTAATGTAGGACAAAAGACAATATTATGTAAAAGTGATTCAGATGTAACTCCTGTTGCAAATGTTTCCAAGATATTTGTGACTACTGATGACTGTCAGACCAAAAATTCATCTAGTGTAGAACAAAAGAAAGCTTTTTCTGAAAATGACCCAGTTGTAATTTGTGTTAATAAACCAGCGTTAGAACAAAAATCTGACTTCAAAGATGAAAAACAAAATTTAAATTCTGATCAGAAGAAATCGAAAATTAAAATCATAAGAAAGAAGGTGAATTGCTGTAATATTAAGCATGTTTGTGTGCATTGCATGCTATAAGAAAATCACCAAGCTTGTGAAGTCACATTATAAAATGTTTTTGTGCTTAATCTTATGCATCTTCTAATCAAATTTTGAATGTTTTCAAATTTAAGATTACATACATCCTCCAAGTCTTTCACCTCATGAAATTTTGATGGTAAGAACTTTAGCAGGTGCAGTGGGCTGGCTGCATGGGTTTTACCGGTTTTCTCACACTGTGTGTAGCATGAATATGAACCATTTTCTCTAGTTCTTCATAAAGACATCCCTTTTTAAGGCAGATAAGATTGCTTTGATATAATAAATAACACAATATAACCTGAAAATGAGAACCACTTGAAAGGTATTGGATTCACATATTCTATGCAATGAAAAATTATTACAATATGCATTATTAACAAAATGAAATTTCCAATAAGTCAAACTAGACATTGATTTTGAAACTGGTGTTAACTTTTCTTGAAGTAAGATTTTGGTACTTCCACCCAACCCTGAAAAGAGTCACCACCTGATTCTGGCTATTTTTTGACAAGTTAAAACATAAAGGACAACAGCCATTTTCAATACTGGTAACACACTAAGAATTGCATAAAATAAAATACGAACCAATTGACAAAAATTAAAAACACAAAAAAACATTCATAATAAAACTTTTTTTCCCTTTTTAATTTTTTTATCCCTCCTCCCCCCATGAGTAGAGCGATCTGTTTTAGCTTCAGAAAACATAAGGGAGTTGAAGAAATTTGGCATCGCAGACAACTTGGCACCACTTATCATCTGCAGAGTAATCTAATTTTCCTTAAATATTGGGGAAAGCCTTTGTGCATGCTTTTGTTCTTTCCATGTATATAGTGACCTATTTTCATTTAAAAAAATACAATTGCACAAATTTTTATCTGTGAAATTCAATCATTTATGAAATGCAGCTTCATGGAATATAAGTTATTGCATTCTCTAACTGTAGGGTCATATTTCTGAAGAAACTCAACAATTTCTTTTCTATCAGCCAGCAAACTCCACAGTCCCATTCAAATTCTTTACAAGGGGGTTGTTGAATGCAACAATGCAGTAAACTGAAAAGGGTTACTATGTACACTTATTGTGCAATTAATCTGAAATATTTAGCATTTTAAAATACCGTAATTTCGCACGTATAGTCCGCACGCAAGATTTTATATAAAAAAAATTTCAAAAATCGTCAGATAGTCCGCGGACTATACGTCCGAAATACGTTTTTCTAATACGACAATTTCCCATGCTTTTAAACACATCCTTTGTTTGCGCCAATTTCTCACACCGCTTCTCGTCCACTTCAAATAACGGGGTAAAAATCCTAGTATATGGTGCAGCCTTGGCACGACTTTGAAATTATCGCCAACACTAAAATGATCCAAAGAACGTCTATATATATACTATGCACTATATACTATGTGTGTATATACATAGTATATATACTATATATGTATATTCCTATGTTAAACTATATATATTTTTTAAATGACCCTTAACTACTCATCGTATATGTCCCGTTTTACTGCTATCATAAAGTCGCCAAAAGTAGCCAAATCCCGTGTGCACCGAATACTGGGATTAAACCATAACGGCCCGCTTCTCTATTTCCATCTTTTTCAGCTTTCTCAACTAACTTGAGTTTAACTCAACAGTAAAACTCCGGGGATGTTTCATCAACGTTATCGAAGATGAAAGGACAAAAATACGAAAACAAAATAAAATACTGTGCAACGTTGCTATCCTCGTGATAAGTGGTAATGAAATTGTGACCTTTGACCCCACTCACTCGGTGTTGCATCAAACCACGCTCTATGAGTAAACGAATCACGCTTTTTTTTTTTTTTTTTTCGTACTCCAGGTAACTTGCTACTAAGGCTTCTAAAACGCATACTAAACGCCTCCTTGACGCATCAACTACTTTTCCCCCCCTCCCTGGCAGTTGCGCTAAAGCAGTGCGAAGGGTACTGGGATACAAGACTCTGGTTGCGCTAAGTGAGTGCTCATACTTTCTTGGCTCATATCCGACATCGCTTGATGCGTCAGCCTGGATTTTAGGAGCTCTACTTGCTACTACTCATTCGTTCTGTACTATGCTGTATGGTTTACTATCGATACAATACATACGAAAGTTTTCTTGGAATCTCGCGTTTTTTTATATTTGATCATCGGCAGTTCACACGACAGCGTGTTTTTTTTTAAATTTCAACGATTTTAACCGTGAACAACCAGCGTATTATCCGCACTGGTGGATAGTCCGCAGCTTCAAAAATTCGCATTTTAAACACAGATAGTCCGCGGACTATACGCGCGAAATTACGGTAATTTTTTTAATGCAAAATGAAATTTTTAGATTAATTGGAAATCATTTTATCAGTTGTAAAATAAATTTCCTCCCATTTAAAGGAAGGTTTCAATCCTTTTTAAAATAGGTATCAACTAACAGTGTTTAAATCTATTATTAAATAAATTGCATCAATATATTTGGAAATGCATTTCATTGGTTTCATTGGCATTCAAGGTAACCTTGAAGGGCTTTCTTCTAATAAGTAATTTAACATAGCCTAATCTAATCATTCTAACTTTTAAATATAATTCTAAAATATAGTAATAGATCCAATAAATAAATTTTGATTTCCTAGTTGATTTAATCAGTGAATTTTGTCATTCCAATAGCAGAAGTTTTTTAAAGTTTTGATTGCTGCTGGTTTTTTCTCTTCTCCAATTCTTGATGAAAGAAGCTTATTTGCATGAGTAATTTGTGATTTTCTGTGTGGATAGCATGATTAATCATTTTTCAGATGTATATGATGAATATGAACCATTTTTAGAAAGTCTGTGAAAGCATCTGTTGGAAAATGCAAATCTTTGCATGCTCTGCAATGATAAAAACCTGTGTATGAAATATATTTTTCTTTGTATGAAATAACATTTTTATTTATTTTTTACAGAGTATGAAAAATGATACCAGTACTAAAAATGTTAATACAGATGTAAATACATTTGCAAATCAGAAAGAATCAAGTATTAATCAAGTTAAAGAGGATTCTTTAAGTATTATATATCAGTCTCAGCCTGTTAAAGAAAACAAAAAAGATCTTGCCCACGATCAAAAGAGCCATGAGAAAGGTGCATGTGTTTTTCTGAAAGATGATGTTCCTCCTGTAGAAAAAGTTGCTGAAGAAATGGAAAAATTAATTCTTGAGCAGTTAGAAGAGGAAGAAAGAGCGAAAGAGATGGCTGCTGAGGTAATTTATTTTTATTTTTGTAGCTATATTTGAAGTTTGATGAAATAAAAATAACTGTGGAATTTGATAATATGTTATGTACAAGATTATTCTTCTGAATTTTAGATACAACTGAAAAATTCTGTCAACTCGCCAGAAAATATTTTAATGGCTCCACTTCGCCTAGCTGAACCTCCCAAAGAAAAACCACCTCCACCACCAAGTGGTTCAAATGAACCCCAAAAGGTAAGATGCAAGTACAAGGGTTCCTCCATACAGCTCTGATTTCATAATTTCAGTTCTGAAATATGGAATGATTTTTTTTTACATTGTCTGTATCTACATTAATTATTATTTACATCTTTAACAACAGTTTTTAAATAATACAAGAATTTTAATTGGTTTTTGTGATTTCAAATTTTATATAATAATAGCATTATCTTTGTTGTGCGAGTTTCTTTATGTATTTTCTTCCTCTCACCCCATTCTTGGAGCAATATTCAGCACACTGGCTTCTGGTTTCCTTTTTTATAGGATTTGGTGGTATATGGCTGGCAAAGTGCCTTTCTGCTAGAATAATACAAGCCATGCTAGGATCACTGGAATGTTCTAATGAATAGATTCAAAGTTTTAATGCAAATTCTCTACAATGAAATGAATCCTGTAGAGCCATCTGTTGTAATTAATGAACACTAAAACAATTTTAAGCGGGATTTGTAGTACGGGGAAAAATCTTCATCTGCGATTTTTCACGTTAACTGTAATAGCGAACCAACTTGACAATCCTGCTCAAATCAAGAGAGCTGTAAGCTAATTGGTTAATTAACCGTCTAATTCATTGTAATGTTTCTTCAGTGCTGACTAGAATGCAAATTAGTTGTGTATTTAAGCTGAGGGTTTGAATGTTTAGAGTTGTAGCTTCTGGCAACATCATCCTGCTTTTATTGTCAGTGTTGATTTAGTTTATTTCACTCTGTGGAATCCTACAGTGTTACTCAAAAGACCATCTAATTAATGAGTTATCCCATCATCTCTCTTTTTTTTTTCTTCCATTTTATTGTTAACAAAACATTTGTAAATTTAAGGGGGAAAAATAACTTTTAACATTAACATAAATGTTTTTATCTTTAGAAAAAGAAGCATCTGTAAATGACCTTTAGTGAAGAAATTCAAGTTTTTGTAGTTATTTTTAGGCAGTTTCCAGGCATTTCTTAATCCAATCACGTGCATCCACGACTATTTTGATAACATCAAACAATGAGGAAAAGTATGCCTTTCAAAACAGCAGTTTGATTTAACCAATATAGTTAGAAACATATAAATGGGTACTTTTACAGTATTTCTAATAAGAAAAGGCAAAAATTTATTTATGCACTAGTGCATAAATGTTTCTTGAAATTATATGAGTGATGTTAAGCTCCTAATTTTGGAGAGCATCCCTTGTTGAAAGAGAACGTGCCACCATAAAATTAAAACTAGGCCCCAAAAAATGCAAATTGTACTAGACATTTTCATAGATTTTTTTTCTTTTTCAAGGCGCAATGAAAGGGGGGTATGCAGAATTTTTTTCCTCCTCTCAAAGCCGATATTGATTCAAAATGTCCCAAATAAGGTCACTTTTTTAATTAATTTTAAATGATGGTTGATTAAAATCAAAAATAGATGTTCAGCAACTTAATACCTTACTTGTAAACATTTCTCTGTCCCTTCGCAGTTTATAATCTATTTTGACCTTATTTGGTGATTTGATTTTAATTTTAAAAAGTTTGTTCTATAATATTTTGATAACATTAACCGATTTGTTGATCATGATAAATGATGTTTTTTTCTATATTTTCATATGCTTCATGGGCTGAAATTTAGCAATTCAACAACCATATCTGAATCTCCAAAATAGCATAAAAAACTTCATGTGCTGTATTTTGAAACCGGTAGATTTATCCTTGATTGTAAGATATGTCATCATTAAAAAATGCATCGACAATATTTAAAAGAGTGAAGAATGTTGACAAAAATGTTAAAAAAAAATAGGTGTTTATTTAAAAATCTTAATAACAAATGCTGAAGCATATACGTAGGTAAGTTGAAAAATAAGTTTCCCCTATCGACTGTGGTCAGAGTTGTGTATGAAAGTCAAAAAATAGAATGAGACATTAAAGATATGACATACCTTTATTTTATTATTCTCATACAAGTACGTTGAGACATTTGTCATATCGCTTGATAAGCTTCAAAAAGTCCCCCAAGAAAAATTCACGCTTTGCATATGGAAGAAGCGTTGAACGGCTATGGGCGAAAGGCGACACAGCAGGACATTTTCCTACAAAATAATTATGAAATCAAAAATTATATTAAAAATTTCTTAAAACTTCTACAACTGGCTCCTGTCACAGAATGTAAACACAGGTCGGAGTGCTACAGTTCGTCACTAGGTCAAGTTAGGAACACTAGGTAGGAGTGCTTTTGTGAAACAGTTCCTTAGACTTATTAATTAGCTGAATTACAAGTTAGGATTCACTCTTAGAGTGATCTCAGGAACTTGACAATTTATTTTGGGTATTAAGAAGGAATTGCTGAATATCTGCATTCTTCAAGTTATTTCTAGACATTATTGTGCCATGTACTATTTATTGTGACTATTTTCCCAATAAATTGCTCATTTCTCCCTGTTTATCTGGACTTATTTTTCAAAGAAACATCAATGGTCCCGACAGCTCATTAGATTTTTTAGAGGTTGTGTATGTATAAGGTAAAAAAAATTGGTAACTCAAAAATGCGACTAAAATTAACAATAGCCCTGTAATTTCTCATTTTAATTTGCATATCCCCCTTTCTGTTCTGAATTGCTGATAATAATTTTTTTTGGACTGCGTCATTCCAAATTAATTTGTACGTGCTTGGTTATATAATCCATCTGCATTGTGACAGCTTGTATCCCATCTCAGATCTAGAATTTAAACAAAAAAAAAAAAAAAAAAAAAAAAAAAATCAAGTTTTAAATATCACTGCTATTAATGCACAGCATTTTTTTCCTGCTTCCCCTTGCTGCTAGCCATGCACAGTTTGCTTTCCGCTTTGTGTTTTTTCTGAGAAGATGCAAGCTTCTAAAATTGTAGGGTGCATCTTTCATTCATGAATGAGGCTTGTTGTATTATGAAAATAAAATTATGTATTTGAATCAGCAGACACGTTGAAAGCTTTTCTTCTCTATTCTCTTAAGATAAAAGTGCATGCAATAGTTTTCAAATCCGCAAGTTATGTATGGAATTATTACACACACACACACACATATATATGGTAATTAAATTACACTAAAGGCTAAAATGGTAACTTTCCAAAGTGTTACAAATATGTAATAGAAAAAGGTGAGAACCACTAAGAACAAGTTTTAGAGCTAAAGCAAAAATGAAGAAGTCAAGGCCAAATGTCCAATCTTCATTTTTGTTTTAGTTCTAAAAATTGTTCTTAATTATTCTCAACGTTTTCTATTGCATATCTCAACGTTTTCTAGTACTTAATATAAATTAATTACAATATAAATTTTCTGCTAAAGTGGATTATTTTTGTCTTAAAAGCATTTATATTAAGATTTTGCGTCCTTTTCCTATATATATGTACAATATAAGTTAAAACAAAGAGTAGTAACAAAAGAGTAATATCAAGAAGTTCTCTGCTGATTCTGTGATGCAGTTTGGTGCAAAGAACCAGACCTTTGGATGGCATAAAACTGTCATTTTCATCTTGACCATGCTCCATCTCATTCATCACACCTGATACAGACTTTCTGGGCAAAACATGGAATTCCATTTGTTTGCCAGCTTCCCTACTCACTTAGGTAGTTACTCACTAGGTAGTTACTTAGGTACTCATTTAGGTAGTTACTACTCACTACTTACTTAGGTAGTTACTACTCACTACTTACTTAGGTAGATAATTTTAGTGAAATTATAAGTAAAATTATTGTATTTCTTTTGCAATGTAACATGAAATCTTTAAAGAGACGAGCTGTGCCAGAAAAGTAAGAATACAGGAGCAACTCCATTTAACTTTCAGTAAATGGGTTCTAGTATCACCCTAATAGATATCAGAATTGAATAAATGTGATTGATCACTATATTAGCTGTAACCATAATTCGACCCTCATATTGCCTTCCAGTAATTTCAAGGAGTAGAAAGTACTAGAAATATCTTGGCAGCTGGGTGAAAACTATGTAACTTGAGGTGATAACTATATAACTTAACAAAGTGAACTCCAGGTTAGCTCTCTCTCCTTAGATGCACTTTGCATTGCATTGTGTTTAATGTTCTTAGTAGTTTGAAGTGTAACTACTGCTTGTACTTCCTGGTATTATGAAGAGTTGTACGACTATTTTTTGTTGAAAGTTCCAGTTCTCTGAAGTGTTTCTTTTGATGAAATTAATTTTTTGAACCTATTATTGGAGCTATGTGCATCCAATTTTAATAGATTGATGAATTAATCGATTAATGAAACTGTACTCATGCAATAATATTTGAAAATCTAGGAGGATCAGAAGGCTTGGCTTTGATCACAGTTTGAGAAATGCTCCCTCCCTTCAGTAGTATTTTCAAAATATTCAATTAGGAAACGTCTTCATATAAAACATATAAGTTATATTATTTTGAATGAGATATTAAATGCAATTGCATAAAATCAAATTTTCATCATCTCTGAGGTAATATTTTTTCACATTTGTTTTAATTTCCAAGTTAAACAAAGTGTACTTCTCTATCTTCTAAAACTTCATGTATCAGTTAAATTATTATTACAAATTGTGCTACTGATGTAATTTTCACCTTTCTTTAGGTGAAATTATTGATTAAAATTATCTGTTGTGATTTATTTTCCTACTCATATTTTAATATCAAACACATAACACAAAACATTCACAAAACTTTTATTGAAATATCATGCAGAATTATCTAGAAGTGAAAGAGCAAATGCAAATAGACAATTCATAAGAAATACATTTTTTAATGATATAGAGTAATTTTTGTTTAATGTTTAGTAGAGATTTTATTCTTATTTTAGCCAACATCCCTGAAGAGAGTGAACTCTACTAAGCGCATAAAGAAAGAGATCCATAAAAGGCGTTCAAATTTTTTAGGAATTGAGAATGCTGATGAAAACATTTCTTGTGGTAAGTGAATAAAATTGCCTTGTGTTGCTTTGAATTATAGTCTTTCCTTGTCTTTTACTTTTAGTATTAACCTATTTGAGATGCACATATATACCTAGGCTGTCAACTGCATCTCAGAGCTGGGTGTGTCATATTATATATGAACGGCTCGGTGTACATGTGTGGAAATTTTTTAATAGAACATTTAATTAGTATCTTTTTCTTCTTCTTCTTCTTTTTTTTTTTTTTTTTTTCCCAATAGAAATAGCTTTTTGTCTGTTATGGTGGATTGTATCAAGACTGGAGAATGTCGACCTTCATTCCATTACAGTATTTTATATTTTTGGCATTTTGTTAAAAACGCAGAGCTGAAATCTTAGGTTGAGTAATATAAATGAGCAGAGCTGGCTTTTACTGCAATGGAAATATAAACACATGGGGATGTTTACTATTCTTCTGTTCATAATGCTTTCCGTTTTATTTTTGACGATAAGGGGTTATGCCCTGTTGTTTTATAGGTTTTATTCATTCCTCTTAGAGTTTAGCTTATATTGAGGCAAATATTTTGTGTATCGTTTAACAAAACACTTTTTCTAATGGCAAGAAAAATGTGAGGATAAAGTTTTCAAAACATTTCTGACAAGTACCTGTGTATTCGTCTCACAGTGTGCCAAAATTTTTAACAATTGGACTACAAATTTAACCCTTTCAGGACGGGCATCTCATTGAAAGATGTTTTGGAGACCACTAGATGGTGCTGTCTCCTTTACTTTTGAACTGAATATAATTTCAGGATCTTGACCTTCAGTTTGATCACATTCTGCATAACATTGGTGTCAGCTGTTGTGGGGAAGCAACAAAGCCTAATGTAAAGAAACAGAACTCTGTGGCCACATGATATAAATATTCCTTTTTCTGATATCCCTTCGAACCATCTTTTTATTCTTTGTATTCATCATTTCGTGTATGTAGGGTCTTTTAGGGTTACTATGTGGGGTCCTGTTATGCTTTGCATTGCTCTTATTGCTTATATTTCACATGCTTTCCTATTTATTTCAGAAAGCTTTGACTTCAGTTTATCTTTCATTATTTATCAGAGGGAAGGAGAAAGCATTATATATCAGGAGAAATATATACTCGCATGGTAAATGAGCCAATTATTGACATGGATGAGAGTGATAATTTATTTTCTAAAGAGTTAAGGAGTGATATTTTGAATGATTCTCATATGGACGTTTTATCAGAAACTGAGCTCACGTAGTGTCAGCCTTCTATTTGCCATGAAACATTTTGTTACTCCTTGTAAATAATCTTTCCTGTATTTTTTAATTAAAGTTTATTAATGTATTTTGTCAATTAAAACTTCGGAATAATTTGAATATTGCTTCCAAAAATAATTTCTCAAAGTAAGCAATTTCTTTTACATATTTTCTGTGTGTGCGATTTTTTTTTCCCCTTAAATTTAGGCTTAGCAATGCAGAACCTCTGTCTTCTGGGAGTATTCCTTTCGACTCCCATCCATCCAATTGGAATGTCTTAAATAAAGGCATGCCATCTTGAAAGGGTTAATTTATGTGAATGTTTTCTCAAATTTATGCTTAGCATGGCAGATTGCCTATCCCAAGAAAACAGTGCATCATGCCAAGAGAGCAATTCGGTAACTGAGGCACTTGTTCTGATGGAGTGAATAATCACAAAATCGCACTGTGATTTGACTTTTTGGCATAATGTCTGAATAACTGTCTACTCTCCCAGATTTTCATCACATCTCAAGCTAGATTGCCAATCTCTCAGTTTTTAATTTGTAGCCTTTCCTAAAGAATATGTATGTATAAATGAGATTTATTGAATCAGTGAAAATTGGCTTTCTTCAACTGTTTTTTACTGAATAGATCAGTACTGCTGCAAAAAGAACAACCTGTCACGAAATTCATTATACGGGTTTCAAGAAATAATGTTATAAACAGAAAGATACAAAAATTGCAAAATTAGAATACCATAACAGATCTATCATCAGAACTGATAAACAAGCTGTTCATATGCATAAATATGTACTGTTATTACAGTAATACAGTAATCTGAATGTACTTATGCTGCCTGCACTGTGTAGGCAATGTTAAAAATTATTGCAGTCTAGAGCTGTATTATTTTTTAAATTGCGTGCTGTTTATTCAGCTTGGAAATGGTGTTACTTTTTAAAAAATAATTAAAGTTCAAAATGCATGTTTACTTCAGCACTACTTGACTGTTGAAATCAGAGTCCACCCCGTTTTGGCTAATAGAGGTGCAGTTTCTTCTGATTTTCAAACTTAGACCTTCTAACGTGATTTGCAGTCTAGATCATGAACACTCTTGGTGTTGAACCAAATCAGTTTTATTATTGAGCATGAAATGAGATTATTCATTTTGAGAATGACATCATTTTCCTGATGGAATAGTAATAAAAAAGAAGGTTGCTTGTTATTTTGACTTTTGAAGACTTAATGTAAGCATATTATAAGTGGATAAAGGACCAAATGAAATGAAATTCAGACAGGGTCTCATACAAATGGTAACCTGGAGGATCATTAGATGGAAGGTACAGGTATTTTTATGGAAGTAAGAATTCTTTAAAATAAAAAATTTTATACCAGTTAAGAAGCAAACACCCAAAGGGCATAATTTTACTAGATTGTATAATGTTTTAATTGAAAAGGTAATTACTGATAATTCTCGGGAAAAGGAAATTAATCTCTTGTCACCAGCGTGGAAGGAATTTATTCAAATTTGGCTGAATTAGATAAGGTAATATGTAGTTTTCTGTTGGAGAATTCAGATAATGGAAAGTATGCTGCATTTCAATAGTATACCACAAAATTGATTGATGCAAAGGGTTGAGTAGACACTTATTTGACTGAAGTTTCTGACTTGGAAATGAGAAGCATTAACACAGTTTCTCCACTTATTAAACAGAAATTTAATCCACCAAAAATAAAATTGGTTAAATTCAATAGGGAAATTAATAACCTCATTAGTCAACTCTGCTAATCTCTGTAAGAATGGTATTTGTATAAACTCTCAAAATATGTGAAAATTGTGAGCTTGGATTCTATGTTTGTGGGAAATTGCCAGCATCTGAACAAGAAGATCAAAAATCATTTAACTGTCCCAGAACTGGATGCTGCAGAAAATAAACTTCAAATTGTTCTGGCAGATATTTGCCAAAAATTTTGGTTGTTATGGTGTACAAAGACTGTTCAAAAATTGATATCAAAGTGATGTAAAAGATATACAACAGAAAACATCAAATCTATTCCTGCCCCACTCCTAGAAGACTGTGTACAGGAAGTGTTAGTATCTGAAATGACTGGAGTGGATTTATCAGGACCACTTCGTTTAAGAGATGGCAAGAAGGCATGGATATTGCTAATTCACACGTGCAGTATAGAAGGCTGTCCATTTGGAACTGATACAGAATCCGTTAACCAATGAATTTCTTTTAGGATTTAGAAGGTTCATTTCTAGATGAGGATGCTCTAAACCAGGGGTTGCCAACTGGTGGTACGCAAGAGAAAAATAGATGGTATGCAAAGAAGCAAAGTATTTTTAACTGTTAAATTCAAAAATTAAAACCCCAACATATTGATTGAGTTTTTTCTCTAACACTCGTAAATTTTTGCTATCTGAGCTTGGTTCAAGCTCAATAGCCGCTTAGACCAGGGATTCTCAACCGTTGGTACAGAAGAGAAACATAAGTGGTAACAAAGAAACAAAGTATTTTTTACTATTAAATTCAAAAATCTCCTGAAAAAAAAGAACAATTGATGGAAATTTTCTGTGATCGAACTCTAACTGAAGATTTCAAAAATAACACGCTTGTTAACATTTGGCTGAACTGAAAAGAAAGATTTTAAAGGCATTTCAAATAAAGCTATAAAATTTTTATTGCCTTTTTGCACAATCTATTTGTCTGAACAAGGATTTTCTTCCATGTTATGTATTTAAAAAATAAATACAGAACAAAATTAAAAATTCATTCTAATTTACAGTTATAGCTAAGTGAAATTAAGACCAGACGTAAAGAAATTGATCTCTCTTAAACAGACCTAAATTTCACACTAAATTTTAAAATTAATTAAACTTAAATTTTGATAATAAAAATGGTAACCAATTTTGAATATAATATGTTTTTAATGTGTGCATATTTAATTCAAATAGCGAATAGATTGTGCAAATGGCAAAATATATATATATAATTTTTTAATATTTCTATTGAGAAACTGAGAAATAATCATTATAAAATGTAGTGGTGGTACTAAAGTTTTTCCATTTTTGTTTAGATCGTACGCATTAGTCAAAAGTTTGAGAACCATTGCTCTAAACCATATACAGTGACAATGGAGCCAGTTTTGTTGGAGCAGATAATTTTATGAGTTCGCTTGAAGGGAATAAGATTGTAAATGATGCTTATGTCTCAAGGATTCCCCAGCAGCTGCTTGGGGTGGGTTTTGTGAACAATTAATTCAGATGGTGAAGAGGATTTTTAGGAGAATTTTGGGAAAAGCTACCATTGTATTATGAAGAGATGTTTACCATACATTGTGGCATTAAAGCCATCATCAGTTATTGACTGCTGAATTATTTGTCAAAAATCCGAACAATTTAACTCCACTGACAACTTCAGTGATTATTCAAGAGACGCAAATTGGTGGGAGTTCCCGACTTAGATAATTTGGTCAAAATAAAGATCTCTAAAAGATATGATTATCAACAAAAAATTATGAGATGACTTAAGACAGTTTCAAGAAGACTGTTTGAGGTAGTTAATCCAGTGACCAAAGAGAAGTGAGGCAAAACAAATAAAGTTGGGTGATATTGTTATAGTTGGAAGTGACACTAAAATGCAATTGGACTGGTCTTTAGGAAAGATTATTGATATGTTCCCTGGGAAAGATAGTTTCACCACAGTTGTAAAGTTTAAAACAACAAGTGTAGAACTTGTACATTCTGTGCAATGTTTATATGCCTTGGAATTAGATAATGAAAATTCTATTGTTGTTAGAAACACTGATCAGGTTGCTTCTGATAAAGATATTAAAAATCAGAAATTTAAAAATTAAGACTGTGAAAAGAAAAGTGGAAGGAGAGTTATAAAACCACATTATAATAACTGGCTTTCAAACTTTGAATTTTGTTATTTTTTCAAAATTTTGGTTATTTTTATCTTCCAATTTAGAGTGTAATATTTTTTGTTCATTCGACTTTTAATTTTGTGTCTTTTTAGTCTAAAATCAAAAGGTAGGAGGATGTCATGAGCACTCTTGGTGCTGAACCAAATCAGTTTTATTATTTAACATGAAAGGAAATTTGAGAATGACATTTTTTTTAAGATGAACTAATAATAATAATAATAAAGAGTCAAAAGGGGTTGCTTGTTATTTTATCTTTTGAAAACACAGCATAAACATATTGTAAATGGTGAAATGACTCTATGAAACAAAATCTGTAACTTAAGTTATTCGTGAAATTTCTCATTTTTATTAGGGTTAGCAAGTTTCTCTAATGTTCACCACATTATTTCAGAGATAATGTTTCCCTTGACCAACAGAAATCATTTAACTATTTTTAAAGAAAAAACTGATCATAAAGTTATGCAGAACGTTGAATAATCAGGACTCTTCTCTATGTCCAAAGTAATCTGAAAAAGTTAATTTTAATAATAATGATTTTTTTACGTAGACAGTATTATTTTTTTCTTTGTTAAATTCATAAACAAATGAAAACAAAAAATTTCATAAATTTGATTGAAATTTAGAACTGTATGACAGGTTATTTCCATATTACATGTTTATTTCCCTCTATGAAAATAAAATGTAATTTTTTTCTTCCCTTAGAAGAAACTTCTGTTCCACCACCACCTGCTCTGGAAGACATTCTGAAAGCAGAAATGGAATTGGATAGAGAAAGCATGCGAAAATTGGAGAGTGCTGCCGCAGAGCGCCTAACTTTAGAAGAAAACGAAATAATCCAAAAGGAGCAAGAAATTATTCAAACATTAGAGAAGGAAGAAAGACAACAACATATTGCAAATGAGAATACAGGTGAAAAACTTTTCCATCTTTTCTTTCTTTATATATTTTTAATATTTTGCAGTTATATTTACCATAAAATGCAACAGATTTCTTTTATCTTTGGAATGAAATTTTCTTCTATATCCATTTGATTTTGGCTTATAACAAATGAACTTTTTTTTCTCATCCAGTCTCCTACACATTTAATGTTAATTTATACTCCCAACGGTATAAAAATCTGGTATCATGAACTATATGGATAACTACAATCAAATGTATTTTTTTCCAGAATATATGAAAGTTTGGATGAAAAAAATAACCCTTAAAATTATTCAAGCTCAGCATGTTAGTATCCACATTCTGTCCCTAAATTAAAATGACACTGCATTGTTTTTCTTTTCTTTTTCCTCTGTGTTCTAAATATAGACTGTGCAAAACAGGTGTGACACCCAATCAAATCAAAAAAAAATAAATAAATAAATAAATAAATAAATAAATAAATAAAAAATAAGATAAAATAAAATAAATAAATAAATAAAAATAAAAAATAAATAAATAAATAAAACAATGAGCAATCTTGAGACACTATATGATGTTCTTTGTATGTGACTGGGAAATGGAAAAATGCTATTTGGTTCATTCAAATTCCTTGAGTGAGTTCTCTGACAAAGCTCTATTCAAAGCTGACGTTATGATGGAAATTTTCATTATTCTGGTAAAGAGGAATTGACGAATTTTACGAGTTTGGATTATACTTTTGATTCATCTGTTAGGGAATGAAATTTTTTTATCTTTTTTATTTATTTCAGTATTAATGTTTTCCAAATTTGGATTTTGCATTCTTTTGAGGTCTTTGAAAGGCATAGGGTATTCTTTACAAATTTTATGGAATCTTTTCATTGCAACCGTAAATATCTTAAGTAAAAGTTTTAAAGGTAAAACCATTAATATTTTTTATTATTTATCTGCATACAAATATAAAAACCCTCAACTGTACAAACCATAGTGGTTTCTCGGTACGAACTTTCAACTATACCAAGCTCTTCTGGTTTTTCACTATATCTTTCAGTCTTTTGAGAGATCACTGATTTTCTAAGTCTTTAATTTTTAGATTTTACTAAGAAAAATGTTTTCTAAAAATTTTTAATTTATTAAATTAATGGAACTTAAATTGGGCAAATTCCATTCCTCAACATCTAATGATTTTCAGTGTAATTTCTGTTATTTAATTTTATTCCATCTGAATTGTATATTATCATATTCCATTTTATTGATTTTTGTCTTATTAAATTTTTCTTCTTAAATTTCATTTGTTCTGAGTTGTCTTAATTTACTGTAGGCATTAGTGATTTTATAGGAAGATTTAAGAAATATTTAATAAGATAATATTTGTACTTAATTTTGTTTACTCTAGTATGTGACACATTATTATAAATAATCATTAGTTATTATTTTCAGTGTATTTGAAAGTACTTTGTTAAATAAAATTTTTCTTTTATTATTCGGGAAACAAATTAGCCAAAAAACATAGAATTTACAATGTATAATTAAATTTTAATATTTTTTACTTCAGAATTACAAATAGTTTAATAACCTGAGCCATACATTATAAAGTGAATTAAAATCAGTTTGGAGTTCCTTTGAAATGGTGTTGCTATGCAGTGCGAAAACCTCATGGTTTTCTCTGTTTCTTCCTGGGAAAATTCTCCTGATTTTTAAAGTTTCAAGGTCCTATTACAAAGTAACTTGTGTCCCTATTTATATACACATTATTGTTACTTTAATTTTTATAATTTGTAATGTTCATATTGCTTAAAGATTTCTGGCATGACTCGCAAGAAAAAGATAGAATACAAAGTTTGAAAGAAGAGAGGAAAAGAATAGAAGAAGAAAGGATGATAAATGAAGAACAGCACTTGAGGCTACTGGAAGAGGCACAGTTGAGAGAGCGGGAGGAGTATATCAGAAAGCAAGAGGTTGGTGAGATTATAAATGAATGATCAAATTGCTTTATTTCAGGTTATTTCTGTCTATACTGGTACTTGGTAAAAAATGCTTTAAACATGTGTACTTCATAGTTACCATATTTACTCTTGTATTTTCCCCCTTGTATATTCCTTCTCTAGCTTTTTATTAGCACAGGGTTGGGAAAAACTTTAAATCATATAATTCCCCCCCTTCCTCAAGGTGTTCTGCAGGTCAGAATGCAAGCTTGCCTAAATTTAAAAATGGTTTTGTTCATGTAGTGATTGTTTTCATCTTACCAATTTATTGCTTTTGGAATTTGGGCTCTGATTGATGAAGCAAATATAGCCAAGACCTTTGAGAAAAGAGATATTTAGTGTTCTTGTTGATTCTGAAGTTCATTGCACTTGGGAAGACCGAACAGTGATGAAGACGATGACACCAACCTGCAAGCTGTAGCAGATGACACAGAATTTCAAGCAACATTAAATGATTTGAGGCCTAGGTATTAGAAGAGGACACCAGTAAGAGTGGGTGAGATTCAATATACAGGGAAGTAGAAATGACAACATCTTATTCGATAGTTTAAAGTTAATATTGCTTTGTATTCCTGTAGGCAGTGGCGTAACTAGAACTCTTGGGCCCCTATGCAAAAAATTTTCCTTGGCCTCTTTCCCAATAAATTTTATGTGCTTAAAAAAAAAAATCAAGTATTCCAGGAGGCAATGTTTTCATGATGATTTTTATCACATCTGGATTAATTGTTAAAAAATAAAAGCACGTTCTTAGGGAACCAGTTGAAAGGTACATAGCATGAAGAAAGAATAAAAAGGAAAATAATTTCCCTTGACCAACTAGTGCAATAAAAATTCGCTTTAGTCTGGGTATGATTTTAATTCAGTTATTTAAGACTTTTTGTGTGAGTGCGAGAGACAGATTTTTCTCTCCTTTCACTAAGATGCATACTGATAATAAATGAATAAGTCTATATAAAAAAAGGAACATGTCGATATATAGCATTAAGAAAAGGAAGAAAGCCTAGATTTGCAGAGATTTTTATATAAAATCCAAGAAGTGTTACATACTAATGTTTTAAATTTTTATATAAAATCTGCGCCTATCTAAGTTTTTTTGTTTAAGTTAGCAAACTTATAAATAATTAATTATATTATAAACTGACAGACAAGATAATTTATAAACGTACAGAAAAGCTATTACATTAATGTATAGTACTATGTGATTTACTCAGCTTATGAACATGATTTATGCAATAATATACAAGTAATAAATAAGAACTTTTATAATGTAAATGATACATTTGTTACATATAAAACATATTTATCATAAACTTTGATAAAGAAAACTATTTGAGCATCCAATTTTTGTAGAAAATATGTATGGTAACGTTTTTATCCGTCTTTTTAAGAAACCTCTTGGTACACTAAACTACATGAATGCATGATTTTTATAAAAAATATGAAAGCTAAAGTTTTTTTACTGTTTCCTTTTAATTTTCCTCAGTCCGTACTGCTCTTCTCTCTAATTTTTTCCTCCCTCAACAAGTGTAATGATAACATCGGTGGCCAAAATTCATCATAAAAGAAAAAAAGTCCTTCTTTTAAAATTTGCGTCTCCTAACCTTCATTTTCGCAAAATTATTTATCAATATTTGGACGTCCATTTTCTCAGCCATCTCAGCTTCAACACTCAATAGTGAAAGGTTTGACAACCGATCTTGTGTCATACTGTTACTTAAATATGTTTTATTATTTTCAGTATTGAAAATGACCTCTCACTCGTGGCTGTGGTTACAGGTAATAATAAATTCAATATAAGTGAATTGCACACTCCCGAATAGCTGTTTGTCATGTCATAATATTTTACCATTGCTAATTTAGCTAAATCCTTAACGGATTTCAAATTTTGGATTTCTGTTCTGAAAGTATTTATAAATAATAAAAGTTGTACTTCCAGTGCAAGTCTTCTTTATATGTTTTCTGTACTTTTTGAAACATTATTAATAATTTTCATATTTGTTAACAATGACAGTGTTTTAGGTTCTTTATTTCTCTTTTATTTTCCAAATTTAGTTTCTATGCCCCATTTATTTGCAATAAACTCAGCTTCTTTCATAATGTCTTAAAACTTGTTTCTCATATCTTGCATATTAATATAAACGCTTTTTTAGATGTTGATGTCTCCTCCATTCAAGTCGATTGATTTTCGATTGTCGAGCCGATTGATTGGTTGATCGATCCTGCACTATAACGCAGGATGTGTTTAAAAAATTTGGTTTTTAATTTTGGCCTGTTATGATGTTTCTTAATGTATGGAAACATAGATTATATTTATATTTCATATTTATCATAAAAAATTTCATGTTAATTTAACAATTACGTTATTAATATTAGTAGACATTTTGCATTGTTAATGGTGATAATTTTGGATTTTTCAGATAAATGTATTAAAAGTTTAGATGAATTGAATTTTTAGCTAGTTTTAAATTATAAGAATTTAGTTTATGATTAATTTAGATATTACAAATCAATAACTTACCTTTATAATGAAGAATTATATTTGAGATCAATTATATTTGAGAAATTTAATTTTAAAGAAAAACTTCTGTTTGTTCTCGCCCTAGACTAGTGAAATGGCATTAGAATAAGAGCAAGTTTAAGTTCAGTTCACTGTTTTGAGTCATCAGCCAATTTACAAGTATACTTGAGGGCAGCGTTTCACACTTGAATGCGGTGGCTTAAAGAAAAAAGGGACCTGAAATCACCCTTCAATGCAGCTGCTTAACGAAGAAAGGGACCCCGCCTCCACTACAAATTTACAGTGTCTTCCCAAGTTGAGTCACAGTAAAACTTTTATCCAAGACTTTACTGTAAAGATGTCATTGTCCATTTCCCTTTTGAAAACGCTGAAACATCTGTTTTTTTTTTCTTTTTCCCTTCAGTCAAACTGTACTATTATTATTGCCATATTCCAATGATACATAATACATCACCTGCAATATCTTTCTACATTTCCTCTGTACTATAAATGCATTTCAGTTAATGTATATTTGTTAAATATTTTGACAGTAAAAATTATGGATATTTGAATATTTTTAGGAAATTCTTCACAAGTTTACGATGAAATCATAAACAGCTAGAAACAAATTTTATTGATATGTATCCAAAGAGCTTTGAAAATGATTGTGTAATACGAAATAGAAATTTTAAAATTAAACACAAAATACTTATGATATGAGGATTTATCTAAATTGAAATACCCACTATAGCAAAATATGACGATTCTTTTCCAAGTTTCAAGGTCCCAGAAATGTTTAATAATTTAGAGTTAAGCTTATTGACACTAACGTATATTTGAAGATGAGTACTCATACTCTGTCGCATGGATTCTAAAAGTAGTACACATAAATACTTGTTTAGGAGACCAGTATAACGTTTCTTCATAATTAGTAAAAATAAAATTGTATAAAACAAGTTTTGCGTACTTCGTAGAGAAATGTGTAAAACTTCATTTAATGAAAATAAGATTTGTTGTACCTCAGGTGGATCAGAAAGCAAAAATCAGTTAGGAAAAGCGGCTATATTTTAGAAGCATTAATATTTATTATTATTGTTATCTGTTTTATTTGCGTCTTAGAAAGCTATTTATTTATGTCAGAAATTAATGACATCAGATTTCCAGTTTTTACATTGCTTTAAATTAAGCAGTATAAATTTTTTATCTTAATCATTAATTTATTAATGACAAAAATATAAAAAATAAATATAATGTATGAGAACATATATTAACGGAAGCTATTTATGTCTTAGAAAAGTTATGCAGTGATGCCGAAATGAAAGAGAATAATGTACAAAGGGATTTTATGAGTGAAAATCGCATCTTTACTATTAAAACGTGTTAATTAAATTTTTTAATTTGCAAAAATTATTGAAATATTGCAATAACGGGGCAGCATTCTTTTCTGAAATATTCCATTCGTTTATGTAGTGAAAATAGCAATGTAATTCACGTTCTTTCAGATGTTAAAATGCAACTATTAGGGCAACGCTGCTATTGATATGTTTAATATTTTCAGTAATTAATTTATCGAAATTTACGAAGTAGTATATACTTTTAGTTGTGCGATGCCATTTTTATTATCATTATTATACTATTATTATTGATGATTTCACGTACTGAATGCTGTGGAAAGTAAATTAAAAGCAATGTAAAATTTCATTTCAAATAACGATTAGAAAGTACTCCTTGAAGGCGTTCTTCCCCTTAGGCAAATAGTCCTCGAGTGCTTTATTATTATATAATAATTCAATTCAATGCCGTTTAAATAACACACAAATTATTGCGTTTTACTCAATTAGACGCTTAAATGTTTCACGTTGTTAAAATAAATTGTAATTTATTATATTTTTTTTCAAACGAAGATTTTGATATGAAGAGAGATTAATATATTACTTTCAAAACAAATTTAATGTCTTCAAAATTATCTTTTACAGATAAGTGTGAATTTTTGGTAGATGGGTAATTTAAGGTTAAGAAACACTACAGCTCTTCTCTTTTCTAAAGCAAATCAAGTAAATTCTCAAACAAGTTCTGTGCTTTCAGATTTAATTCTCGATTAGGGATTTTAAAGAATTCCTAACCTGCATTTTATCTGCAATGTGAGAATATTTTGAAAATTTTGATATATGAAAAATTGGATAAATATTTATTTACTCATTATTTCAAGTAAAAATATTCACTATTCCATTTCCTACCCGATGAGTGAAAAAAGTAATGAATTTCAATAAATTTAATGAAAAAAATTTCATTAAATTTACGCCGGAAATTAACTGAAATATTTGGCCGCTTAATGTTTGAGCATCTGTGTATTCGTAGCCTGTCGTAAAACTCCCCCCCCTTTTTTCGAAACTTTGAATTCATTCAAAGATCCCTAAGCCAAACGGGAAATCTCTCCTTTCCAAATGTGGTGCCATAAATTCTTTGCATTTCCTGG